GAGGAGGAGAAATGGGGATTTTTTATGGGGTTTTTTGAGGAGAAATGGAGGTTTTGGAGGAGATTAAAGACCCCCTTGTTGACGGAGGAGGAGACTGGTCACGAGCTCGAGATGGAGGCTTTTTTGTCGTTGTAGTTTTTCAAAAAAAACCCTGCTACGGAGCTCGAGATGGGATCACGGAGATGCGAACAATTTTCTAAAAAAACCCTTGCTTTCTTACCAACTCAGCCAGATGCGTACGCATCAGTCCGCATCAGAAATCCTATATATATATATATATATATATAACACAAAATCTCCTCAACTGCAACCGCACAAAACCAAGCCTTGCTCTGCGCCTCTGTTCCGCAATCACCAAAGAGAACAAAATCTCCTGCACCGAACCCTTTTGCTGCAGCCGCCTACCCTCTATGCACTAAACCCTAGGTGATCTTTTTCGGCTGCATTTATAAGCACGGTGACTTGGAAATATCGGGTGGGCTTCGTGGGCCTTCAAGGCTTCGTTCACGAGTTCACTTCACACGTAAATGCTTTGCCTTGGGGGGTCCCACAATCACGTGTTCACAAAGTGCTATCATATCTTGCCGATTCTTAACTCACTTAGAAGTTGACCCCTCAAACATTTAAAATTACTATTAGATCCTTCAGTTCTTAAATTATTTTGAAATGAGTCCCTCTAATAAAAAGTAGAAGTAATAATTGGAGTTATTAATTTCAAAAAGATTACAAAAATTATGAGATCTAATAAAAAATTCAATGAGTTGACGGATTTATTTGAAAATAAGTAATTTATATATATTATAACTCTCAAAAATATTTTTATCGATAAATTAAAAAAAACTATTTTCAAAATGCTTAACCATTATTTTTTTGACTTCTTCACGCATTCCGCGGCAAACAGTGACAATTTTGCTCGTTTTAAAAAAATTAGTTTATGAAAATGACAGACATACAGTAAAATTTACATGTAAATCGTGGTTAGCTACTGAAATTGTGGACATCATCCACCCATCACTTATGATGTGACATTATGCAGTTCATGGTAATAAATTAAGAGTATGATGACTAGTATGCGTTCTTGTCACCTAACAAATTATCCAGGACCTCTCTTTCAAAGTTTCAAGCTCATAACCTATTATTATTTCCATGGTCGTTTAAGAATATTTCTTTGATGTTGCTTAATGCCATGTGATCTAGAACCATACTGCTTGCAAATTTTCGTTTGAATAATATTAAATTCTCTTAATTCAGGTCTAGCTTGCATTTGCTTACAACAAGGTAGACAGCCTAATAAAAAAAACCTTTTAAGAATGTGTCAATTGTATGTATGTGTCAATTGTATATGTATATATATATATATATAATTCAATACCAGTAGTGTTGCTATTTATTAAAGCCTATATTGTATTTTATTAATAATAATATTATCCGTTTTAATTAATTGTTAATTAGGCCGGCTATCAAACAGAACATTATTCTGAAGCTCTAGTGCCTGCGTGATGCAATAATATTAGATGGGAGATTAAAAACACATGGCCGGCTTTCTTTTCTTAGAATAAACATATTTTATATCAACAAATTTAATTTAATTTAAATAAAAAAGTAGATTTTTTTAATAGAGGAAAGACGGCAACTAGACGACAACAGAATATATGGTCAAATTATTGGCACACGGAATGTTTCTAAGCTTCTGCATAATCTCATGTTTTTATTTTTCTCCATCATTTTCATATCTTGAAGCATGAACAAGGTTAGCAATTTTATCAGTAGAGAAATAAACAAGAAAAGGTAGCGAAAATGTCAAGATGAAATTTGGCAAAATGCTTTTAAGCGTGAAATCTATACAGCTCCAGACCTTCAGGCATTTTATTGTATACAACTCATGTCTCCAAAAATTCAGCAGAGATATCATGTCCATACCACATGTACACAACTTGTGTTTACAAACGTATGCAATTCTCTATGTCATATCATCAAATACGGATATTAACGATTTCACATAACATTAATTATCTTTGAACAATGAGGTTGTATTTGACAAACCTCTAAAACTAGACTAAAACTGAGCAATGTTCGTCCAGTTTTTAGGCCAAAAATACCCACTAAATTGATTTTAATTTGGACCACCCAATGGTCCAAATTGAAACCGGTTTAAGATAAAACTGAGCCATGACTGATCATAGTCCAATTTTTGATAGATTGTCAAACACGTCATGGGTGTATACATGCATACAAGAAAAGCAAACGTGTACACATGCTACAAAACGCCAAACAATTGAACACAAAAAAATTAACTTTCCTCAGAAAACAAATTTTCGAATTTTATAAGCTTTACACATTTAAAATGTTGGATATTTTGACTATATCATTACTTATATGACCTAGGCTGTTTTGATAATGCTACGCTTATATTGAAATTGAGAACAGTCAGTATGATAAAAAAATATCAGTTGTTGTTGTTGTGGACAGTCTCAAGCTTAAACACTCTCTGTTTCCATCCAAAATCTTATTATGACCGGTGCATAGCAATAAATTGGAAAGCAAATGCAACTCGTAATAGAAGATAATACACAAAGAAAAGACTTACTTACTTTTAGCAGAATTTAAGTTTAAAAGTGTGTGTGTCTATATATATATATATAGGGAGAGGTTCAAATAAAAACCTCACTATCCTAAAAACTAAAAACCAATCCTCTCCATTGGATCTAGATTCATCCAATGGCTGAGATTAAAGCTGCATAAGGGTAATTAGGTAAAATAAACAGCCCACTAAGAGATGTAATTAATGCTTCTCTGTTGAGTTCTCCATTTCCCCATGCAACTCTCTCTCTCTCTCCAAAATCACAGCAACTCTCTCTCTGTCTTCAACATCTCTCTTCTTCAACCTCTCTCTCTCTCTCTCCAAAATCACAGCAACTCTCTCTTCTTCAACCTTCGTCTTCATGGTTTATGAAATTATTTTGACGCTTCGTCTTCACGGTCTTCTTCAACCTTCGTCTTCATGATTCAGTGGGCTGTTAAATTATTTTGACGCTTTAATGGTAAGTTTATAAAATTTGTTTGATTTTTCGTCTAAAAGTTTTAGTTTTAACCTTAAAGATCGTAGCTTTTTGTTGTAAAAGGTGAAATATTTCACCTTTTAGTTTGAAAAGTTTTTTGTTTTTTGAAGAAACCAGTTAAAAAACAAAGACACGCATAAGTGAATCTAGATTCACTGCAGTGAATCTAGATTCACAGCAGTGAATCCAGATTCAGTATGTGAGGTGTTTGTTTTTTACCATAAAAATCGTAATTTTTTGCATAAGTGAATCTAGATTCACTGCAGTGAATCTCGATTCACAGCAGTGAATCCAGATTCAGTATATGAGGTGTTTGTTTTTTACCATAAAAATCGTAATTTTTTGCTGTAAAAGATGAAATCTTTTCATGGTTTAAAATTTTATAGCTTGTTTTTACCATAAGTTTCTTATTCTTTTTGTTTAAAATTTTATAGCTTATTTTTTACCATAAATTTCTTATTCTTCAATATAATCCAGATTCACTGGAGTGAATCCAGATTCACTGGAGTGAATCCAGATTCACTGGAGTGAATCCAGATTCACTCCAGCGAAAGCTTGGATGGTTAGGATGGTTTTTAATGAATTGTTGAAGAAATAAATGCATGTACTGTAATTTCGAAGAAATAAACGCATGAGTGAATCTAGATTCACTGCAGTGAATCCAGATTCAGTTATGTGAGGTGTTTGTTTTTTACCATAAAAATCGTAACTTTTTGCTGTAAAATGTGAAATCTTATAATGGTTTAAAATTTTATAGCTTGGTTTTTACCATAAGTTTCTTATTCTTTTTGTTTTTTATTTTTGCAGATTTGCTATTGTTTGATAATGAGTTTCAGTTACCATAAAAATCGTAACTTTTTGCTGTAAAATGTGAAATCTTATAATGGTTTAAAATTTTATAGCTTGGTTTTTACCATAAGTTTCTTATTCTTTTTGTTTTTTATTTTTGCAGATTTGCTATTGTTTGATAATGAGTTTCAGTCCACTGAATCTGGATTCAATTCAGTGATTCTGGATTCACTCCAATGAATCGAGCTTCAATATAATCCAGATTCAATGGAGTGAATTCAGATTCAATGGAGTGAATCCAGATTCACTCCAGCGAAAGCTTGGATGGTTAGGATGATTTTTAATGAATTGTTGATGTGTTCTTCATGCGAAGATGGAAGATCAAAGCTTGATAGAAGATGTAAGTGAGTTACAGAGAGCAGGAAGTGAGTTAGAGAGAGAAATGGGGAAATGAAGAACTCAATAGAGAAGCATTAATATTGCCAGCCACCATTAATGTAGTTAATTGTTCAACGTGTTGTATTTTTGGTTTCCAATGTTGCTAGCCACCATTAATGTAGTGAATTGTTCCAATTTTACCCTTTTCACATTAATGATGTGTATTAAATTTTTCTATATTTACAATTCTGCCATTGAAATGTAGGCCATTGGATTAGATAGATTGGAGGGTTAGGATTGGTTTATGCTCCATACCAAAACTACAAGAAAAGAAGGTCCCAAAACTTCATTCTTTATTTCATTTTCTGCAAGTCATTTGCAAATAATAATATAAGATAACCCAAGGTCCTTCGGTTTGAACACGTGCAGAATATAAGAAGGTACAAGGAAACTTACCAGTGCCTTCTCCACTCACTTGACATAGAAGAAACACACACAAGAATCTTCAACCTGATAATACATAGATACAAAAGCCATCTACTTCAATCCAACGGTTGATAAAATTACACATCATTCGTTGAACATCATAATCATATAAGGTCAAAGGATGTCAAATGAGCCAAAGGAACATCACATCAATTGATTGCTAAAGATGAACCCTCAAAGACGCTTCACTACATGTAGTCAGAACAATAGGCACAAAACTAATAACGTTCTGATAAAGGTATGAAAACAATGGAATATATGATGCATTTATTTGGGAGAGGGAGAAAAAAAAAAAAAACAAGAGGATTAGCTGCAACACAAGAACCAGTCGCCTCCAACAAAACTAGGAGGCTATATTACAACAGGCACAGAATGTCCAGATCACAATCTGTCAATCTCAATACAAGAACGTTAGTGTACATGGAGGAACATTGGTGACAAAATGACAAAGATCATGAATGGATTAAAAAAGAAACAATTATCATGATCAATTAACAGATGAACAACAAAGGCATGGCATACAGTATGATTAGCTTCAGTAGCTTGTGCTAACAGGCACATCCTCCTCTTGACTGCTCTGGTTCAGGAGTGGGTTCCGGAATGCTCCGGAAATATCTGCAGATCAGAGAAGATTGTGTTTAGAAGTATGCTGCTGGAAGCCCAAAACTGATTCATATCACGCAACTTGGTAAGATAATTCTCAAAGTTTTCTTGTACAAGTTTAAAAACCACTACTCGGAGTTACGCACAAGAGGCCAAGTAATGAAAACAGGCAGTATGAAGGCATTAGTAGGTCACTGAAAAAGTCTTCACAAGCGCAAGTGGAAGTGGTCTAAGCCAAGATACAGAACCAACTTGTCAATTGGGCAATCTTCCTACATATGTACAAAGGCTCAAGGGATTTTAGACATTTCAAGGAGGGAATTAAGTGGAGCTCCATGTTAAAAAGATGTAATGCTGGAGCTGTACGGGAAATGTATGGATTACAATAACTCATAAGCCCATACTAGTGAAGTATGTGAAACCAAATGTAAGTCCATGCTGAAAGTACCACAAAGTCCAGGGATGTGAAATCATGTACGTTTTTGTTTTCTCTTTCTTTCTCATGATATGTTGCATGGTTATATCAAGCAACTCCTGCTTTGCGTAGTTACTTGTTATGACATAAAAAGTAAGTTCGATATATGCACATAACTTATTAATGATAGTCCAGCATCGAGCTAAAAAAACAGTTCATTGTGGGGTTTAAAAAAAAGAAAAGAAAAGGATGAACCTAGCTATTCACTCTTTAAGTTGTCACATAAGTAACCAAACAGGAAAGAGAGATTATGACATCAAGTAAATATCTGAGCTCATGAAATACCAATAGGAAACGCAATTGACACTGCAGAGAAATAAGCAAGAACAAGAAATACCAACTTACAAATCTTGATCTTGGTCATTCTCCAGTGCAAGTTTTGCAACACACTGGAAGGCCACATCAACATTGTAATCCTCTTTTGCTGAAGTTTCAAAATAAGGCATGTTGCCCCGGGAAGCACACCACTCTTTTGCTTTTTTCTCAGAAACCTATGTGATGTAGAAAACCTAAGATTAAAATTCCAACTTAAATGAACTAAATGTAATGAGACAAGCAGCTCATCCTTTACCACTCTGCTATTGCCACCATCTACATCAACCTTGTTCCCAAGCAGAATGAATGGAAACGTACTTGGATTTGATGGATTAGCCTGGAGTGCCAAAAACTATTAGCAGCAAACGCGAAACAGCATGCAGAAAATCATGCGTCACAAGTGCATTCTAAAAAGTGCAGCCCAATGCACAAGGCTCACCTCACTGGACAGTCTGGGGAGGTTCAGATGTACCACTAAGGGTGGAAAAAGTTGCAAAAGAACAAATTATTAAATAAAATAATGCTAGGCAAAATATTCTGGCTTGAAATAACTACAGCCAAACACAAGCGACAATTTTTTTAAAAAAGTAAGTTTCTTGTAACTAAATAACATATAATGATTCGTTATCATTTCTGGGTGTTATAACTAAAAAGATGAATATTTGTGAACCATTACTATAGTATGATGTTAGCTCAAAATAAATCATGCGGTATGATCACTATAGTCACAGTCCAAACTGAAAAGAAAGTATGTATTTCATTTGCACATTGTTGAACTAGTAATTTAGGAACCCTACACAACCACATAGGTTTATTGTCTCATATAGAACAGCCATTTTATACTGGAGAAATTCTGATCATACAAGATAATGTAGACGTAACAAGTTTTCGACATTAGAGATCAAAAACATGTTGGAATAAATGAATGACGCACATCGTTCATAATGATGTCCATGCCCTAAAATTTGTTGATAAAAAAATCATAATGTATGCACCTCACCCTATTCACTGAGTGGTTTCAAATAGACTGGCACTCAACAATACAAGAAAAGAATCAGTTATTTAAAAGTAGGGTTAAGAACAGAGTGACAAATTCTGGTCATTGAAGGTAGCGTCGCATATTTCTACATTAGCTATCAAAAGCATGTTGGAGTCTAATGAATAGCTCACACCTCTTATAATGATCTTCAGGCCCTAAATTTTGTTTATAAAAATCATATTTTATAAACCTCACCCTATGCACCAAGTGGTTTCAAATCAAATGGCAATACGACAATACAATAAAAGAATCAGTGATTTAAAAGGAGGGTTAAAAAAATAGAGTGACAATCTGAGCAGTCCGCTTCCAGCGGCTACCTGCTGGGGCTTGCACAATGTCACGCCCCGGGCCAATGAGCCCGTTGGCATGATGTCATGAGACCCACAGGTACAACACATGGTTTGGCTCAATCCACTATCAAAATTGCCTAGTCAATGTTATAGCTCACACCTCTTATAATGATCTCCAGGCCCTAAATTTTGTTTATAAAAATCATATTTTATAAACCTCACCCTATGCACCAAGTGGTTTCAAATCAAATGGCAATACGACAATACAATAAAAGAATCAGTGATTTAAAAGGAGGGTTAAAAAAATAGAGTGACAATCTGAGCAGTCCGCTTCCAGCGGCTACCTGCTGGGGCTTGCACAGTGTCACGTCCCGGGCCAATGAGCCCGTTGGCATGATGTCATGAGACCCACAGGTACAACACATGGTTTGGCTCAATCCACTATCAAAATTGCCTAGCCAATGTTACACTTGGCTCACAAGACCCATCGTTTAAACCATTCAATAACTCAATCAATATCCAATATGGGACTAAACCTTGGGTATCACAACCACCCTACCTTAATTACGCGACGTCCTTATCGTGCCATGACAACTGGTCCTTCCCATTATCACCACCAGGCGATATGGACTCTAGAGGTGGCTCCTATCGCACTCACGCGTTGTAGTTCTTAGTCCTGCATAGCACTTAGTTCCACATTTCCGGTTGACTAACTGCTCTGATACTATTTGTCATGCCCCAGACCCGCGAGCGCGATGTAAATCGTGGGACCCATTGAGTACAACATATGACTTGGCTCAATCCACTACTAAAATTTGACTAGTTAATATTACAATTGGCTCTCAAGACCCATCATTTAAACTATTCAATCACTCAATCAATATCCGATGTGGCATATTATATGGGTTCACACATAGGCTTCAATCACCCCCCCCCCCCCCAATCATATTCTCATTATTCATTAACTTAACGACTTGAAAGGAAATATTGTTATAAGGATAAACTTAGCATTAAGTCTTCAGTGAGAAGTTAACACACAAATAACAACATGTGGTGAGTCATACACCGTTGTAGAATAAAAACACACGGAAGAAGGGAGTGACTGAGTTTTAAAACAACATTTGATCCCCTTAAGGAAGTGACTCTCTAAGAGTTTAAACAAACATCTGACCCCCTTCAGGAGGTGATTCTCTAGAGGTAAGAGGTACATTAAAGTGAAGTACCACATCCAGAAGAGCTTAAAGTGAAAATAAATAGTTCTGATGCTTTAACAAAAGCTCACAAAATGGACTTAAAATAACATATCTTCTAAGAGGCTCCAGTCTTCAAAGCACTAACAGATAATCTTGTAAAAGAGCACCCTAGGCAGTGTGACCTTCTAACAACTTTAAACGAGAAGACACTTACGCTTTGTCGGCAAAGCCAGTCGCCTAGATCAACTTATAGTTTTTATTAGAAAAATCATCTATAGGTAAATACATGTTTGTATGTGTGTATTCCTTCAAGTATATAATAAGGTTTTTCTGACAGTTATTGACCTGATCTTGGAGAATGATTGTCATTGCTAAAGCAAAAGAAATGAGAGAAGGTAATGAGATAGGAGTTTGTGAAGAGTGAAAAGAAGAATATGGAAACCAAGAAAATGGACATATAATTCTTCAAGATGATGATATTTACGAATCTACCACGTTCACCAAGATGATTTTAGATTGGTTTGTGTTGTTTGGAAGAGATACAAACTTGGTTAAGAAAAAATTCAGTTATCAACATAATCATATTTATGTTTATCATGGTTAATCTATTTGGTTCATTTTGATTAATAGTCTTATGGACACTATATTTGGATATATGTTGTTTATTTGTTTTTTTTTTTCATTTTCAGTCCATAGGCTTTTTTTAGCATTTCTCCTTGGTTCATTCAACTCTTATGTTTCAATTTAAATATTCTTGTGAGATATGTGGTCGTGAACTTAGTTACTAACATGGTTTTAAATATCGGCCGATAATCCGATATTATCGCCGAGTTATCAGATTTGGGAGCTTTCCGCTAGTATCGGCCGATAATCCGATATTATCGCCGAGTTATCAGATTTGGGAGCTTTCCGCTAGGATAAGTAGGATTTTTAATCGGTTATCGTTTCTTATCGCCGAGTTATCAGATTTGGGAGCTTTCCGCTAGGATAAGTAGGATTTTTAATCGGTTATCGTTTCTTGGGGTTTATCGGCGAATTATCGGCGATAAAGGCACTTATCGGCCAATAAGGGAGGCTCTAAATATCGGCTTTATTGGCGATAAATATTTTCTTTCAAGGTCATGCAATTGAATGGTCTCATTGTGTGATCAAGATGCAAGTTTCGCTTTCTACAATTGGTTAGTAATTCTAAACATGATTATTTATATTTTGGTATGTTTATATTTCATTAAGTATGGTTAGATTACATTTAGTTATTATATTATATATATACACCATCTAGTATATCACTTTGATAAATACTATTTATCCCCGATATATCCCTGTAGGCTGTCTAAAAATCACTACAGATAGCTGATTCCCATCAAACACCGATGATGAAAGTTACAATTTGACGGCTTCCAAAAGACTATAATTTGAAGACTTTCACGTGGATCGATGAAGGTTACAATCTGACGATCTTCGCAACAACTGATGAAAGCTCTAATCAACAGCCTTCACAATCAACATCGGGAGTTACAATCTGACGACTCTCATATTTTCAAGGAGCCAAGACGAAGATTACAAGATGACGATCTTTGCAACGCTCTAGCAAAAGAGACTACAAATCGACGGTCTCTTCAAATCAAAACGCAGATATCTCTCAAACCGTAAGGAATTTGACAAAACTGACGGAGCAAACCGAACCCTATGGGATGGGTTTGGTCGGCTCCGTCTCTTCGAGATAACCGATTTTCATATATAATTCGTCCAATTCCGACTTACGGTTTGAAAGTTATGACCTGTTATTCGCAGCACCGATTTTCATATATAATTCGTCCAATTCCGACTTACGGTTTGAAAGTTATGACCTGTTATTCGCAGCAAGTTATGTTCGGAAGTCCGTCTGTAAGACTAGACTTCGTCTGAACATTGGACTTAGCCTGAACCTCGCCAAGCCCGCCTAAAGGCTTGCCTCTGCATTACAGAGTCAAAACGCAGAGTTCGTGGACTTAAAACGCAGAGTTCAACTCTGCGTCCAACAACAAAAACGCACAGTTAATACGCAGCCTAACTCTGTGTCCCAGGTCCAGAGACGCACGGTTAATGCAGAACCCAACTCTGCGTCCCAGGTCCAGAGACGCACAGTTAATGCAGAACCCAACTCTGCGTCCCAGGTCCAGAGACGCACAGTTAATCCAGAACCCAACTCTGCGTTCTAGGTCCAGAGACGCACAGTTAATGCAGAACCCAACTCTGCGTCCCAGGTCCAGAAACTCACAGTTCATCTCTGCGCAGCGCGACCTGTGCGTTTTCAGCCTAAAACAGGCCCAACTCTGCGTTTCAGGTCCAGAAACGCACAGTTCGGGCCCAGAACGCTGTTTTCAGCGTTTGACTCGTTCAAGCACGATTTGAACGGTTCCAGAACCGTTTTCTCCCCACGGTTTGAGGGGATCACTATCCTATCATGGAGAGATTCATGAGGGGGGTAGTTACACCCTATTAAACCCTCATTAAGGAGAGATTTAAGGGGGCGGTTATACCCTTAAATCCCCTATAAATAGGGGTAAACTCAATGGAGTTGGGGCTGGCTGGGTTGATCGGGGAGACTAACTTTTTTGGATTTGAAGCTTGACAGCAAAGAAGATCTTTCATCCTTCGGTTGGGATTTTGGAGATCGGCAACAAGAGCTTCTTCATCCTTGGCTTTAAACCGATTTCGGTTAAATCAACTCTTTCATAGAGTTTCAAACTCGTTCGGAGTTATCAACTCGATCAGAGTTCAAAACTTGCTCTGCAAGTTCTTCTAAAACTTGCTCTGAGTTATTAACTCGTTA